TTCTTTGTTATTGTTATTGTTGTTGAGTGCCATCAAGTTGACTTCAACTCACAGTAACTCCTATGTCAAAGTGGCACTGCCCCACAGCGTTTTCTTGGCTGTAATGTTTACAGAAGCTGGACACAAGGTTTTCTACCACAGAGCTGCCAGGTGGGTTCCAACAGTCAGCCTTTTAGTTATCAGCTGAGCACCTATCTGTTGTACTACCAGGGCTCCTTCTTTCTTAGTAGTACATATAACAATGGTGCTGAACAGTGACATTTTAGGGAAATGCATGCCTTAAAAACAGTTTGGTAGTTTATTGTAAACCAAATGGGAAAAATCCATACTTTGTATTTTTGATATATTGAGCATTTACGTATTTTATCTTATACATGAAAACTTGTGACATTTCATTTTAATTAGTTGTTTCCCTCATGAGTTCAAATTGCTGTACTTTTCCATTTTTCTTACAAACCTGGCTCAATTCTAAGTGGTCTTGATTCTCTCCTCCTACCATTTGTTGATTTTTTTTTAAAACAAAAATGAATGCTTTTCAAATCTATAGGTGTATGTTTGTGTTGAGTAACATTTCTCTCTCCTTTTTAAGATTAAATATTTTTGTTAACATTTTTCTTGATTTTAGATCTTTTTTCCTTTAGGTGATTGTCAGTACCAATTTTTGTCAATTTAGAATGATCTTACATCTGTGCACTATTAAGAGATTGATCTGTAGTGTTTCATCCTTTCACAGAATGGACAATGATTACCATGTAGATTTATACTGCATTTTCTTGGGGTTGGGATACTTCATCTTTAGATTTTCTCAAGATTTAAATTAACACATACAAGTTCATTTATATATACCAGTTTCTTAAAGAATGAAAAATGGCTACCCCCTTCCCCTAGGGAAACTATATAAGAGCCAATTAAACTACAAAAGATATGTTTATTTTTAATCCAACTGTTATGGTCCTGAGCCTATCTAAACTCTTGTGCATACACAACTATAACAATGTGATTGAATGCCAGTCTAAATAGTGCTTGCAGCTTGGGAGAAAGGTATAAGTCATAAAGTTTCAGTTAAATGATCTTCATCCTGTACATTTTTCCTCCTAGCTGTATGATTTTTGACTGCTCAAATCTTTTGTCAAATTTGAAATCTTTGGATATTTAGGATATTAAGATTACAGATTGTTTTGGACCCCTGAAATACAGTACATTGCATCATCATTCACTTTAGCACCAGATTTGGAGACAGGGGCAGTATTTAGAAAATAATTCAAAAAAGTGATAGTGACTCATTATAGATCAGTTTTCCCTAAATCAGAATTAATCAATTAGGACTGACTTTAGTAAAAATATTTATAAAGTATATAGTAAAATATACTTTAATACCAACATTAGAGTAGCCTTTTAGTTATCAGCTAAGTAGGGGAAAACGTGGATAAATTCAGTTGGATTGTGCTTTACTTTATGGTGCATGGATTTGTAAACAAAGTAGTTTATGTTTTTTCACTTTTCAATTATAAGTTTTAGAAAATTAAATTTAATGTTAGAAATCCAATACTTGAAAGAAAAATGACTCAATTATCAGTGACTTTAGGAAGCAAAATTAAAAACAAATGTAAAATGTAAAAACAGATTTGGGTTTGTTTGTTGAATAGCTTGCTGCTAATTACGTCTTCATAACTGTGAAAGTTCTTTACTGTATTATTGTCACCTTCCGTTTTATTAAATAGCCA